AAAAAATTTGAAAATCTTGAAAATTAAAAATTTTAAAATTTTGAAAATTGATAGTTTAAAAATGCATTATAAGATACATCATTTTCAAAACTTTAAATACAAATGAATATTTTTCTCATGTCTATGCATCTTGATGTTGAGATGATCAATTTAAAGATATTTGAGCATCAAAACAATCTCTTCTAATGAAATTTTTGAAGTGAGCTCTAACTTGATCATTTAAAGCCTCTGCTCTATATCAACTTTTTTTAAACACATTACATTCTAAAATTTTTCGGTCTTAAAAAAACACCTCTTGCATAAGTTTTTCCCATGGAGCAAATGGACTGTATGCTCCCCAAGGAGCATAAAATCATTTGGGGGTTACTTTATTTACCTGTCCAATATTTTGAAAGACGCCGAGGGGAATTTTTTTTACAGTCCTCGTCTCTTCATATGCACTTTATATACAGGAGTACACATGAGGTTGTTCAACACCTATCTCTTCATTTCCAGTAAATGGATACAAGTTGTTTTCTAGGAGGCACAGCCCAAGCACTAGCAGCTTCGCTACTGGTGGCGTGGGTCATAATAGGAATTCGCCTCCATGGCACCTCCACCAAAAGGAAAACACTGCCCGAACCACCGGGATGGCCGCTTATCGGCCACCTCCACCTGCTCATGGGCAACAAGCCCCTGCACCGCGTGCTAGCATCGCTCGCCGATCACCATGGCCTGATCATGAAATTGCGAATGGGCCAGAAGCCAACCGTGGTGGTGAGTGATGCAGATATCGCAAAGGAGTGCCTCACCACACATGACCGTGCCTTCGCCGGTCGCCCCAAGTTGGCCGTGGGTAGGTTCCTCGGTTTCGACTATACCGCATTTGTTTGGGCCTCCTACGGCCCCTTGTGGCAGGACCTCCGCAAGGTGTGTAAAGTGGAGCTGCTATCAACTAGTCGGCTTGAAACGCTCAGCCATGTCCGAGATGAAGAGACTGCAAATTGCATAAAGAGATTATATGGGGTGTGGGAAGCAGGAAGGAAGGAGGAGGGCGATAAGGTGCAAGTGGGCATGAGGGCGCACATGGTGGATATGGTGATAAATGTTATCAGAAGGATGGTTGGGGGATGGGGCAGTTTGAGGCTGGGTTCTAAAGAGGAGGTGGTGAAGTTCAAGGAATTGGTGGAGGAGGTGTTCTATGTGAGTGGCTTGCCGAACTTGGGGAACGTTCTGCCTCTATTGGGCTGGATCGATCTACAGGGCTCCCAACGGACCATGAAGAAAGTGGCAAAGAAGATAAGTGCCATTTCTCAATTGTGGTTGGACGAGCGGCGACAGGCGAGGCAAGCGGTGGCTGTAGATGGCGAGAAGGTTACAGATTTCTTGGATGTGATGTTATCCCTGTCGGATGACCCGAAGATCGTTTCGCTATCTGAATCGACTCCCCAAAGGAGGGATATGATAATCAAGGCTACACTTCTGGTTAGTCCTCTCCTTTCAACATTTCTTCTTTTTTTTTTTTTGGTTATTAAGCGAGGGAGACGAGCCCCTAACCTTTTTTTGAGTAGAATAGGAGTTAGCTTTTTTTATAAGGTGTTAGTGGGGTCGTGGTAGAAGACTGATATAATGAGTGTATACTATGAATTTATGATATAATGCATGTCCTTGTAAAATTCGAATCATGGGGGTTCAATCGTGACACTGATTTTCCAAATGACAAGGGTACGAGCCCTAGTCGATGAGTTGAATTCAATGGTTCATTGTTGGAGTTTGATTGAGCTCACTACATGTTTGGCTGGTTGTAAGGTGATCGTATTCGGTGCAACGGACACTTCTTCGGTGACTCTGGAATGGGCTGTGGCTGCTCTATTGAGCAATCCAGAGGCCATGAGGAAAGTGAAAGAGGAGCTCAACACAAAGATCGGAAAGGAAAGAAGGGTGGAGGAGGTTGACATAGCCAACCTCCCTTACCTACAGGCCGTTATCAAGGAGACACTGAGGCTGTACCCACCAGCCCCAATCCTCATCCCACATGAATCCATGGAAGACTGCATGGTGGCCGGGTTCCACATGCCTGCCGGCACCCAACTGATCATAAATGCATGGAAGATACAAAGGGACCCAAGGTGGTGGGAGCGGCCCCTCGAGTTTGAGCCGGAGAGGTTCATAGGGAGCAAGGTGGACATGAAAGGGCAACATTTTCAGTTCTTACCATTCGGGGCAGGCCGGCGAGCATGTCCCGGCACGTCCCTCGCGCTCTCAATCTTGCATTTGGCACTGGCCCGCCTCCTCCATAGCTTTGATTGGCACCTCCCTCTTGGCTGCTCTTCACTTGACATGACCGAGGGCATGGGTCTCACCAGCCCAAGGGCCTCACCTTTGGAAGCTCTCATGGAGCCTTCTCTTCCCTTTGAGTTACTGTGTGAGAATTGAAAACCTTAAAGCTTGTTTGTCTCATAAAAGCTATCCCCTTCCATAGTGCTTAGTAACTTGGAGACTCTTAGGCATCTAGTTGAGGAGTCAATAATCTGCTGGAATTTCTTTTGATTCCTCATTGTTAAATCTACATATATGTCCCGTCTCTCGTGTTTATATTTGAGTAACCTTTGATACTATGGTTATATAGTGTTGAATTATACAAGTCTTTTAAGTTAATCACTAAACCTGTGAACCTTTTTTATTTCTTTTTCTTTTTTTTTACAATGAAACCTTGATGTCAACTTTCAGCCCGGGTTAGCCTCACAAGTACGTAGAAGCACTTGCTTGACACCCACTTTTTTTTCAGTTTTTTTTTTTTTTTGCCTTGATGAAGGAAAACAAAGAT